AGTTGTTCAGAAGGTCAAAGCATTTTTGGCTGGTAAACAGTAGTTAAGAATTTTGTCACCACGTGGCATAGATGTACACTTCTCGAATATGCTATATCTCGAGATCCTAATCATATAGAAAGTTACTGTCTACAACAAAGTTATTTTTAAGATATTTTATATGCGAGAATTTCACATGTATACTAGCATCATGAAGTGGGAAAATTCTGAACTACTGTCCACCAGCCAAAAGACCTTGACCTCCTGAACAACTTTCTATCTGATCAGGATCTCGAGATATAGCATATGCGAGAAGTGTACATGTATACTAACGCCACGTGGTGAGAAAATTATTAACTACTGTTTACCAGCCAAAAAGTCTTGACCCTCTGAACAACTTTGCCGAAGACAGCAACTTTCTAGCTGATCAAGATCTCGAGCTATTGAATATGGGAGAAAGGCACGTATATACTAGCACCGCATAGTGAGAAAATTCTAAACTATTGTCACCCAACCAAAAGATCTTGACTTTCTGAAAAACTTTGCCGAATACATTTACTTTCTATCTGGTCAGAATCTAGAGATATTTTATATGCAAGAGTTTCACATCTATAGTAGCGCCGCAAAGTGAGAAAACTTTGAACTACTGTCCACCTGCGAAAAAGCCTTGACATCCTGAACAACTATGCCGAAGACAGTACCTTTCTATCTGGTTGTGAACTCGAGATATTTTATATGAGAATTTCACGTGTATACTAGCGTCGCGTAGTGAGCAAATTCTGAACTATTGAGCACCAAGCAATAGGCTTTCATCTCCTGAAAAACTTTGTGAAAGGCAGTAGCTTTTTATCTGGTCAGGATCTCGAGATATATCACATGCGAGAATTTCACATGTATACTAGCGCTACGTAGTGAGAAAATTCTGAACTAGTGTCCGCCAACGACTAGGTTATGATCTCCTGAACAACTTTGTCAGAGGCAGTAACTTTCTATCTTGTCAGAATCTTGATATCCCACGTAGTATGGTCACAGTTTTCGCGGTTTCCATTTACATTTTCCCTATTATCCGCGAGTAACGGAGGGTTAAAGTAGTTACAACTTTGTAGAACATTTAAAAAAAAATGGAAAATTCAACAAAAAAGTTATGGTCAAAAACAGATTTTAAGGGGGTACTACCATAGAGTTAACTCTAAGACTAGTAGGTCCCGAAGAAACGTGCTCAACTTTTTGGCTCAGCGCTGGTACTATCTTCGGTCCCAAGCTAATCGATGCACCCCTCGAAACATGAGAAAATCCACGAACCCCTCATTTTATCAGTCAAAATTTCATAGAGAATCAAAACAAACATAGTGTAGTACCAGCATTTCAACTAGAATGGGGTACGTTAATCGATTTGCTTGGGACCAATAGGCTAGTCAAGTAGTGAGCCAATTTAAAACAGTTAGTTTCGTATTGATTGTTGGTACTACCGTTTGTACTTCATTTTCACCCTATAACTTCGTCCACTTGAGCGATAGAAAACAGTCGTGCTTGACAAATTTTCTTAAAATGACTTTATCTACAATGTTTCCATAGATGTTTATCAATTTGAACAAGACGTAAAAAAGTTATTTTCTTTTAATCTGAGTGTATATCCCCCTTAATCAAAAATTTTCACCACTCAAATAAATTACTCAAAAATTGAAGTAACATTCTAGAAGATAACAAAATGCTATACTATAAGTCACATCGGTTTTGTTTTGCTTTTTATTAGCTGTGTTCAATCTTAAGTGGTGGAGAAATATTGTCAATAATATTGATAATGTGCAGCTATATTGTCATGAATATCATCAATCTCTATACATTCCGATTCAGACTCGCTAAATTGAAAGTCAGCATCCATCGCCATCGCCATTAATGCCATCTAAACGTGAAATTTGGCTCGCAACGTTCCGATTTGAAGACGCAACCGCTGTCGGTAGCAGTCTACAGATAAGAAAAGTTTATAATATATTATTGAGAATTAATAGACATCAATTATTGCTAATTCCTAAGTTTTGCAAAGCGAAATAATGAAGTCGTCATCTTGGGAGTGATCGCTGCAAATAACCGACTCTTTCGAGAATTTTGTGACACCACAGACGTTAATCCATTTCTCCAAGTCTCTTGAGCTGGAACCCAAGAAAATATCATTCAAATGTTCATCAAAAAAACAACAGCTAGGGAAATACCTGTTTTTCACTAGAACCTTGTGAAACATTTTTGAACTTGAACTGGAAGCAGCTCTGGTACAATTTTGAAACTCCCACCGTCGAAACCCAATTTTGATATCTAGTATGAATCACTGCTGTTCCAGATAGAAATCGGTACTCCACGCAAATGTAGATATACACGTTAATCACAAATTACTCTGCACAATATGACTAAATAAGTCGTATATAGATTATGTTTACTCAAATTGGGCGTAAACTGGACGAACCAAAACACGGGAAAATTTATGTCAATTTTGTATAAAAATAAATCATATATAAACACCATTTGGATTTGTTCGCTATGCACCCAATCAAGATAATTTCTTTGTGCAATCTAAGTAAATTAATCTTAGCGTGCAAGGTTATAAATGCGCAGGGAGAAAAAAAAGTTGGAAGGGTTGTACATATACTAGATACGACCGCAGGGTTGGCGTTGGATAACGTCTGTTATGTGTTGTACTTAATTTGTATATTATATTTTAGGAATATTCCTTAATAACTCTTTTGCGAAAGTTTGGTGGCCCTGAAAAGGGCCGTTTTGTTGGGTTTGCTCTACTCTGTCGCCCTGGAGGAGCTTTGGAATGATGTTGGTAGTTCGAAGACAGACAGCATCTCCCCTTCCAGCGTTCCCACACCCCAGTACCCCAGGCTCTGCTGCCGTTGCTCTGCTTCCGCTGCTCTGGTACTGCTGCTCTGCTGCTCTGCTGCTCTGCTGCTGGGTCGACGATCGGATAGACAATGATGGAACGGGCGACCTTGTTGGACGCTTATATAGTAGAACAGAAAATATCAGAGGTGTCAGATACTCGCATTTGATGTCTCGGTTGGAGAAAGTATAAGAATATAAAAAAATCAATCGATTTTCACCATCTTTAGACAATGGTTTACTTTTAACCATTTTTCAATAGTTTCCAGATCATTCTGGTTTTTTTTCAATAGTTTTGAAACATTCAGCAAATTGCTAGAAATATTTCCAATCGATTGATGCCAATATCTCGTAAATCTTTCGAGAGACGGTTGAGTTATTATCGTTCAAAATCTTTCAATTTTGTAACGCATCCAAAATGACTGTTTTCAATTTTGTACCCCCGTATGTTGCCAAAAAATAGTTCACCCATTGAACGCCTTTCTCAGTCAGGCGCCACATTTTTGTAGCCAGTTTATTTTCCGAAGTGGCAAATCTATGTTTTAATTATCTAAGCCTAGACCTAGACCGAGGATGATCTTGAAATAAGGAAAAAAAAATGAGTTAGTTATGCCGCGGATACACTTGTATGACCAACTATGAGCAGGAGCATTACTTGTATAATAAATTATGAGAACATCCATGGTCACACTTGTATAGTGTTTGGATTTGCTCATAATTTATTATACAAATAAAGCTCATGTGCATAGATTGTGATGAAAGTGTATCCGCTGCATTAGTCTCTTCATCTATGTTATTGTTAATCTTCTTTTCGATGTACTTTAGTTTGAGGTGAATTAAGACTAGGTTTCGGATACATGGTCATTATCGGTGTCATTACTTAATTTTGTTGCTAGGGAATCCAATTTTTACTAAAAAGGGGCACGCCTTTGGGAGAGTGCTCTCACTCTTCGAAAGGTATAAATAACGGGACCTTTCAATTAGAATCGTTTCCTTGCGGAAAAAAAATGAAAGTGGGGAATCTAAGCTGTCGGTTGGTGCGTGTTCCAGCGATACTTATTTTCTTTCAGAGGCACCATGTGACGCCTGTGATTGTGTACGCGAGAACATACGAAGGGGTGAAATAAAAACTATAATCGGCTTCCGTAAACCATGTCCTCGATTTAAAGCATATCCACGTCAAACTAATCCATGATTAATAAGTGTTTATAGTCATTGTTCGAGTTTGCCTGTTATGTTCCTTTTTCACGTTGATCTAGAAGGTGGTTCTTCATATTATTGATGACGCATCAATCGAAACTAACTTCCAGCACTTTTTAAATAAAGCTCATTTTCACGATCGCATTCTTCGGTACACGGGTTAATAATATTTAGATGGTTTAAAAAATTCCAGATAATCATGACATATAAATATAACTGACTTGTGCACCGAAGAATTAACTTTCTTCGCCAGGAATGTTTTCACTAAATAAGAAACAGTAATACAAAAAAATTGAGAATGAATTACATGGGAATCGTGAAGAGGTATTCTGAGGGGAAGTCCATGGAAATCGGAGGAGTGTTTAAGAGAATCCTGAAGAGGGTTCTAAACGAGTTCTGAAGAAAATTCATAGGAAATGGAATTCAAATGATAATCTTAGAAGAATTTCAGGGAATTTCCATAAGCATTTCAAAGGAATTTGAAGAAGGAATTCATAGGATAAATCCAAAGGAATCATGCGAATTCCTGGGCAATTATGACTACAGTGTCAAGGGAATATATGAAGTTGTCACGCATCCTGAAAATATTACCATCCCACTAGAAGCGTTGCGTAATTTGTGTACGGCACCTAGTAAAACCTCAGAAAGCCTAGTCAATTTAGGCACGGTGTTACGAAGCCGGAAGTGGCGGGTTCGATTCCCGGTCCGGTCTAGAGCACTTTTAGGATTGGAAATTTTCTCGGTAATCTTTATGGTTGCCACACAATACACAAATTCAAGCTCTCAGGCACAGGCTCTCATGTATAACCCTCGCATAAGAAGCGTAAAACAAAGACAAGCCTAATGCTATGCTCAGACTAGGGAGTTACACCATGCGTCATCATTAAACTCTGGTTAAAACTCACCCCTCAGGAACACATTGAAACATCAATTCAAAACAAGCAATTGTTAGTAAATATCTATGTTTATTACTACAATCTATGCCTGCTGCTACCTCAGTGCATAAGTCTTTTCCCGGGAGATCATCTGTCAGTGTTACAGGAAACAGGAACAAGAGACATTAACTCTCATTAGGTCTCTTCCATGGCACTAAACTAACAACTAAAAAAAAATGAGCTTATAACATACATGTCAAGTGGTTAACGCGCAAAGTCTTGTTGTTTGACTGATGAAAACTAATTCGAGGATGACTTAAGCATTGTTCGTAGTGTCGGATGCAACCGTACCTCCAGAGGCGACCGACTGATCATCGCCTACGACTTCCGGCGTGCACGACAACGATGGGAATCTCTTGTACAGGGCAGCACGGTACTTCGGATGACTGATGCCATAGATGATTGGATTGTACACGGCATTGGCCTTCGCGAACAGCGATCCCCAGATGGTGGCCAATGGGCTGATCGGAGCGGTCTGGAAGATGCCGGCATAGTTGATGACTAAATACGGAGTCCATGCCATGAACCACAGCGAGATAGTAACGAGGGCGACCTTGGCCAGCTTGATTTCAGCGCTCTGCTTTGCGGCATCCGAAGATCTGAGTGAGGCAACGTTCATTTTCTTAGCCTGCTCTCGCATGTTCTTCTCGTGCTCGGCAACGACCTGTTAACGATAAATAAAGAAGTTCGATGATCAACAAACTAGTGGACTGTTATTTATGCTACAGCATTACCTTCAGGATGAATGTATAGGAGTAGATGATCATCAACAGTGGGAGCCAGTACACAAAGAATGAATACGCGATGATGTAGGAAACGCTGACCATATCTTGGGAAAGATAATCCGTTCCACAGGCGGTCATGTTGCCCTCTGGTACGTATCGGCTCCAACCGAACATAGGAGCCAAAGTCCAGAAGAGCGAGTTGAGCCACACGAGCATAATCTTCACGAGCGATCCGTTGAAAGTCATTGGTTTAGCTGAGAGACCTTTCACGATCACGACGTAACGATCGTAGGCAATCATGGTCATACTCCAGATTGAGACACAACCGAACAATGATCCCAGCAATGCGTAGACCTGACAAGCCATTGGTCCAAAGCTCCAGGTTTCGTTATAGGAGTTGATCACCATCGGTGGCGCCATTGTGAACATCATCAGGAAATCGGAGAATGCCAAGTTGATCACGAACATGTTCGACGGACTGCGTAGCGATTTGGTGGTTATAAAGATGTACATAACCATTCCGTTACCGCAAATCGAAACACATGCAAGCACAAAAATGGCAAACCCAAGGATTGAGTACCACAGCGGATTCAACGGTGGAAATTGATACCAGTGGGCATCGACCAAGTGTAACATCTCCGCTGGAACCCTATCGACCACGGTCAAGTTGCTGATCGCCGCCGCCGAAGCAGCACTCCACGAAAAAGCCATCGGTGCTGACGGTTCTCCCAACATCTTTCACTGTATTCTCACTTTTTACGAATAAAACTGAGATAACTTCTTATCCTTCAGGATGTTTTCTGAGGCACTAAGTTGGAACGCGATAGAATCCTTGGCTTCACGGGGTTCACGGGACAACTTGTCCAGATGCTTCGGGTCTTCTCTACCGAATCTCGAGGGCGACTCGATTCCAACCATGTCATACATAGACTATTTATACTGCTACTCCTTTCGCGGGCGGGTTGCCTTCCGCAAGAAGAGTAAATTAGATTATGTCGTCTCGGGTTGCGTTTTCTAAGGGCAGACGGCTGCAAGCGCGCGGAAGCAGACGAAAAACACTTCGGTTTGTTTCACTTTCTTCGAGGTTTACAGTCTACGTCTTAAACCATGGTTTGGTTCCTGCTTGGATCGCATTGCTGCGGAAGATTACTTCCTGGTTGTGAGGAATTTGGAAAAGGAGATGCCAGCACCATTTTCGTAGTTTTCTTGGTTCGTTTTCTTCTTCGATTTTCGATCCATTTTTAATCATCTGTAAGTGAAAGCAAGCATTTATTCGTTTTACTTGTGCTCTGATACTATGCATTGATCGAACTTTTTCTACTGTTGGAAAATTTGTTTAAAGAAATGTTTTGCGTCAATTTAGGCAGTGTTCCTATACTTATTTTCTAGGCAAGATTTAGGATACAAGAAAAATACAATTCAGCACGCCTAAACCGTCATTGATCCTATTTTCGTTATGAGACAGTAGATTTGGATGATAAATCAAACTTCAAAATGCCAGGCCGTATAACCCCCGAAAAGTTAATAGTATAATTTGTCGGTTAGGTTAGGGTTGCTGCAAATTGAGCTTCAGCCTGTCTCTGTCTCAACCACCGATTTCATGAATAATTTTACGTTAAATTCATGACACGTTTTAGCACCAAAGTTTCCATATTCAATCACTATGTATGTATGTATGTATGTAAGGTAGCCCCCATCCCTTCGAAGATCTTGTCTTGTATGCAGCTCCACTTAATAGCCAGATCAATTTGAGCTACCGATCTGAATTCACAATATGGCTGTATTGTATGAAGGGCCAAAAACGGAGGGGTGGACCCGTTAGCAGAGGCACTTACGCGAAATCCACGGGAATTAAAGAATCTCCTTCCAACGATACGATCCAACAAATCGAATAACGCAATTCGCAATACTTTTTAAGCTTCACTGCTTCCCTGAAACTGTTGGAGTAGAATTCACACCACCACAATCGGATCGCACAGTGGTGCCAAGGGTATCAAAACACGCGCTTTTTTATTTACGCTGAAATGGATGATTAAAGGTACTAGGTGTCTTCTGAGAAGTTTCTCGGGTTTCAACACTCCTTCTTATGGTAAAAGAAAATTAAAGATTAATCCATCTAAAAGCGAGATGCAAAATTTATTTTTTTAGTATGATGAGATACAAAATAATTGTGTTCGGCGAAGCTGTAGAGAACATTACTGTGAACAACTTTGCTGAAGACTAACACTTTCTAGTTCTTATAGATGCTGAGATATAAAGGTTACTTTGTGGAGACATCGTTGAAATCAATTTTGTTTTTTTATTTATTATTAATTTATTTGATAAGGCTCAACCGAATTAACTTTACAGAGCCGAGGATTCTTGGTCACTAAAGGGTGATACGGTCAAAATTTGGTCAAGGGAAAACGCGTGTAAATCGGTGAAATCGTTTATTTAAAAAATCAAATTAAATTTCTTTTTCAAGTTCAATTAGTATAAAATTCAGGAAAAATATTCAGTTAGGCTTCCGCTTCTCCAAATCTGAATTGCCGGGCCTTACGCTTGACCCCTGCCATCAGATTTTGTACAGCCACCTTGTCCACCTTCTTCGCCGCAGAAAGCCAGTTTGCCTTGAACTGCTGCTCGCCCTTAGCAGTTTGTTTGGTCTTCTTTAGGTTCCGCTTGACAATAGCCCAGTATTTCTCAATTGGGCGGAGCTCTGGCGTGTTGGGAGGGTTCTTGTCCTTGGGAACCACCTGCACGTTGTTGGCGGCGTACCACTCCATGGCCTTTTTACCGTAATGGCAAGATGCCAAATCCGGCCAAAACAGTACGGAACAACCGTGTTTCTTCAGGAAAGGCAGCAGACGTTTATTCAAACACTCTTTCACGTAAATTTCTTGGTTGACAGTCCCGGAAGCTATGAAAATGCTGCTTTTCAAGCCACAGGTACAGATGGCTTGCCAAACCAGATATTTCTTTGCGAACTTTGACAGTTTCATGTGCTTGAAAACATCTGCTACCTTTCCCCTTCCTTTTGCCGTATAAAACTCCTGTCCCGGAAGCTGCTTGTAGTCGGCTTTGACGTAGGTTTCGTCGTCCATTACCACGCAGTCAAACTTCGTCAGCATCGTCGTGTACAGCCTCCGGGATCGCGCTTTGGCCGTCGTATTTTGTTTATCATCGCGATTTGGAGTCACTACCTTCTTGTAAGTCGATAGTCCGGCTCGTTTTTTGGCTCGATGCACGGTTGTAGACGATACACCCAGCTTATTTGCGGCATCTCGGAGAGAGAGGTTAGGGTTTCGCTTGAAACTACCGGCAACTCTCTTTGTCGTCTCAGCGGCTTCCGGTTTTCGATTTCCCCCCGATCCAGACTTCCTGGCTGTCGACAAACGTTCCCCAAACACTTTAATTACATTTGTAACGGTTGATTTGGCAACTTTTAGCGATTTTGCCAACTTTGCGTGCGAGTAGCTCGGATTTTCGCGATGCGCGAGCAAAATTTTGATACGCTGCTCTTCTTGCTTGGACGGCATTTTGACAACTGAAGAGTGAATTCCAAAATCAAAATAGGAGCAACATTCTACACACACACACCTTCAAAATGAGGGGTGTTCAGGTTTTTTAAATGCAAAATTGAAAGAAATACGTCAAGTTGATATTGACCAAATTTTGACCGTATCACCCTTTAGACTCCGGCTGTCAATCATACCATCGTCCAGTTCCAGTTTGAATGATACCCTGATGCTCCCTCCCAACCCAGTATTTATTTGCATAATAAAAGTTTATGTAATGGAGTATCCCTCCCCTTGGCTAGTTCTTAACCTGGACGTTGGTGGGCGGGCCTAATATTATGCTTCATAGTGGAGCGTTGGAGACGGTTGGTTTAGGTTCGGCATCGTTGGCTCATACCGTGACAGAATAGCGTCATGAGAATGCGATGAGAATTACTGAGCTTCCCGTCTCTGATCAACCATTGCATGAGAGAACCAAAGTTCTAGCCTGAAGTGATAGTATCACACTTGTTACTCCTTTGTTTGAGAGCCGCGTTGTAGTACGCTTACGTATAGGCACTGACGTTGGGTGCGATACTGGCGGGTTTTTCCGCAAATCACTGTTATTTTATTTATTTTTACACAGATAGATTTATTTGGGTTTGCACGGGAATTATACTATTGAAATATTTCAGAAAGTGCCCAACAGTGCTCCTTCTATTTGCGTGACAAGCTTTCATTGTTGTTTTCATTGAAGCATTACTCAGGGAACAATGTTAAACACCATTTTTGTACATGGTATTGTAGC